ATGTTTCTATAAGATTATTTATTCCATCATTGCAAAAATGTTGTGATTTCGAAGAGAAAAACGAATTGATTGATATTTTTACTTACTTCAAAGAACGTCAAAATTTTTGCATCAACCCAATGTCAAGGTATCATGTGTAAGTCTTTATTGTATGTAGGTGTAAAAGACGTAAAAAATGGGAATAGTAATGTTTAGACATAATTCATAAAAGATGTATTCTTTGTCAAGTTTTCCTCGAGGTTATACAACTTAATGCGAATAGCGCTGAAACTTTCCGTGACAGACAAATATCTGGCTGCAGAAGGAAAATTAGAATACGAGATGTGGATAACAGATTTCGAGGTGAATGTGTTATCTGATACCATGGAAATATCGCGATTTTGCTGTAGGAGTGCCATAAAGGCACCTTTTTATTGCAACTTAGCTTAGGAAAAGAACTGATTGAATATTTCTGTGGGACATTGATCGTTTAATAAACGTCAATGGCATATAACCATTAATCTTAGAAAGACTCAGCCTTCCATACTCTGTTCGCTAAATATCCTTTGAAAACAAATTCTTTAAGGTAATGGCAGTATCGTGTCCCAGGAAAGCAATAAAGAACGAATAAAAACGAATACTTACTCAGGAATAAAAATGTTTTTATTACACGCTTGATTACTTTTGCCGAAGCATTCCAAACGACAATCTTCATCTTCCGTTTTATTGCTGCCATTAATCACAGAAATAATGTTGGATTTTTTCACTATCATTTTCACTGTTTACTTTCCGTAATTATGTCTGTGGTGTCACTGGAATCGCTGTTACTGCCAATCGGTACGTAAATTCTAAGAATATTCAGTTTGAATTAACTTAGAAGTTTAACTTACTTCTTCGTCTAATCGATCATCATCAATACTTCTTGCAGAGATAATATTTTTATATTATATTTATTATAAGATAATATTTCCAACTATAATTGAATTTCCTGTATCAATCTCGAAGACACAACTGACAGCAAATAATTTCGAAAAGTATTCCACGTTTATATATTTTTCAAATTTATTATGTAACTTTTACGAACTTTCAGTTTGAATTACCTTAGAAGTTTAATTTCTTCTTCTAATTAATCATCATCAAAACTTCTTGCAAAGAAAATCATATTATATTATATTCATTGTAACATAATATTTTTAATTGAAATTGAATTTTCCTTATCAATCTCGAAGGCACAACCGACTAAACAAATCATTTCAAAAAAGTATTCCACGTTTATACATTTTTCAAATTTGTTAAACGCTACGACCCGTTCT